CTATTATTTCGAGAACTTTCCTTGCATTTTTAGTGGTTACTTCATGGTTCAGTAAATTATAAGTAATTTCTGATATAAATTTGTACAGAATAAATCAACTTACTTAACCTAAGTTAAAATAATATTTCTGTTGCTATTGATACCAATTAAGTGTTGCAAGCATCTTTTTTAATATGTGGAAACCCTATCGGGCCGTCACCTCACCAGTTTGAAGTGGGGTGGTGTGTCAGAATCGAACCGACTAAAACTCACACAGTGCCACTCTGTAGCTTAAATTAAACCAGTATGCTTACTTGCTACTTAACTCGTATAAAAAACAATATTTGCGATAACTTGCAGTAATTTTACATAAATAATTAATTAAATATACCTTTATGATTTTAAATGATACATATTATGGCAAGTATCTGAAAACCGCTACTTTAAGAAGGAAAATTTTCACATGTACATATTCCTTTAATGGAAAACCTTTGTGAACGAAACCTAAAATATATATACATAACATATTTGTTTAGAATAAACATAAGCTCCAGAAAATTTCGTTGTAAAACATACTAAGGAAATGTTATACTCATTACAAAGACTTTTACCGTAGTTTGTTTCAACTTAAATGCTTCAACTTCGTCACTATATCATATTTAAAAAAAGCTATTGAATTATTATTCGATTGTGTAACCAAAATGAACTCCTAAATAGAACATAAAGAAATAATAAACCATTTTAAGACGCAGTTAAAAAGGCCGGTATGATTTCAAGAACAAATTAGGATTTAATCAAAAACTTTTTTACTAAAGCGATGTTATGAAAGAAGTTATTTTTGTTTGTCTTTATAAGTTAAGTATGCCTCTAATAAAATTGCTTATTAATTTTAAATATCTGTAATAATTGAATTTACGGTTATTTTTTTTTATATTAATACATTTACAGCAACATACATTTATAGTCTAAACCTTGCAGTTCCAAATGTATTAAAAGTTTCTATTCTCAAAAAAAAAATTGTTTAAATAAAATGATTTGAAGCAGAAATAACTTTGTTTTATATTTTCTATTTTGTTTTAGCAAATATATTAATATATGTATATTTTAAATTTAAAACGCACTTCGTTGCTGCGTTCAAAGTCTAGATGCATGAATTACTGTTTGTAGTTTCACGTAACAAATACAAAACTTCTTGCAATACATGCAAACTTCATGCATGATGATTTGAAATTCATAATAGTATTTTAGTGAAGCGAAACAAAGAATAATAACTATACTAAACGCTTTGAACCAAACTTTAAACACTTCTACATTATCAGCGCTAGTAGACTGGAACTAGTATAGTTTTATTATAAACTTAAATCATTCGGTACTAATACCATAAAAGGAAAGATGTGTTTGTTAGAAATCGTTGGACAGAAACTACTAAATAGTGTGTCATGTCCAACACAAAGGGAGGATTCTCCGACCAGGCGAGGTGATCGTGCCTGGCGGTTGCCTTCAAAACGGTTGATGTTGGAAAATTGTATATATGCTAATCGCCGAGAGAATTCCTCGTATCGCGATACACGATTAGCAATTCTCATTCAGGAGTTACTCCGTAGTTTGATGTTTCTTTGTATGTGGGAGTCACCACAATAGATTTCAAATATTTTTTACCATTAGAAAGTTACTTTATCCAAAAGTAACACAATTACTATAAGAATAGCACACAGTCAACGGCAAGGAGGAGTCCTAGTACTGCGAAGTAATGCTAACAACAAGTCCCGGTCAAAAACAAATCTTGGTCTAAAAACAACTTGGCAGGTGTCTTTTTGAAGAAATCCTCATCTCACCCAAACAAAACAAAACTATGAAATATAGCCAATTATTATTGAATTCCATAAATAAATAGTATTACTAAAACACTAAAATAAAAAAAATCATTTCAGTTTTACGCTTTTAGCTCTCACGCTCTTTAATCAATTTTCATCTGTGTACGTATAAACGTAAATCGGATCTTATCGTGTGTAAATTTGCAAGTAGTTGTAGTTAGTTGTAAGTGATAAATTATTCATCTGTTAGAGATGATGAGACTCTAATTTCCTAGTAATAAAAAACTCATCACAAATCATGTTGGCTTTTATTACTGATATTAGCAATTTTGACCGCAGAAGCAATTTTCCTGCTTTACAATTTTCCTTTATCCACAGTAATTTCACCGCCGGACGGGGCGTGTCATTGCACAAGGATGCAACGACAAAAGGGCAAGCTGTCACGGGAAAATTATGACGTAGTCACAATGAGTCAAATATTCCTTTGTGTTAGACCACTGTTATTGTACTGCCTTATTTGGCCTACTATTCGTTTAAACAACTGAAAATCCTGTATTTTTTATTGTACAGAAAATGGGTCACTACCGCTGTCTACTGACACCTGAAACCACACAGAAAGAAAGATTCACAAGTGCATTGCCACTTGAGTGATCCCCAGAAGCACGGGAAGGGGGGATTTGGAGTCTGTTACCTCGAATTGCGTGCAGCCCATAGGTCCCGTGGCCCTTTCAAATATAGAATTGTTAATTAAAATAGCTGAAAACTCTGGCTGGCTGGAAACTTACTTATGTTAGTCGTGATTGCCTATAACTGAATAAGCACAAGGCATGTTTTTGTATAATTTTTAAATATTTTAGAAATGTGTATCGTTTGTTGGCGATCCAATTAAATAAAAATAAAAAATAAACTCCCAACAATATGATCCCAATATTTACATAATAATAAAAAAAAAAATATATATTTTTATAAAAACATCCTTGAGCAAAGTATACACTTTTACTTACGAGTGTATTTGAGTAAAACCGACTAACTTAGGACCCGACGGGAGCCTTTTTACAAGAAGAGATGCATTCTTGAAAATGTCAGATGTCAACCAGAGTGTGACTATAAACTAATGAGATATCTCTAAAGTACACACGGGAGTAAAACCATGTATCCTTAATAAATATACTTTTCTTTTATTAAAAAAGTACGCTTGCTTTACGATTATTTTGTTTTTCTCATATATTTTTTTCTTTTTAACGAAGGTCGTATGTAAGCATTTTAGGGATCGAGATTCTGTTAATGCATGTAATTGTTTGTTTCCTATTTTATTAAATTGATCCAAATGAACCAAAATGTGTAAAAAACGTCTAAAGCAATTATTATTATTAACTTTTATATCTATATAATATATCTTGTGAGTTACCTATTGTTGTCAACTTTTCTGAACTAAAATGTATTAAGCATTTTTTATTCTTAGCTAACGAGTACTTCAATTCTTTAACAAGGAATAGATTACTAAACGTGCTTAAACATTTTTTTAGGTTTTCTACAAATATTTGTTTGTGCATATCGTAGCTTCTATAGTCAGGTAATATATCTCGCTTAAACGTAAGTAAAGGCTGTGTCACTAAGTTCTTAAACCAGATAAACCTTTTCTCTTTTTTCTCAAATCTTGTGTTCTTTATGTATCTAATTGTTTACACGGTTTGTGTGCAAGTATGTGTTACATATGTACTATGTATTCGTAAAATAACTTTAGGCGGTTTCTTTTTTATAAATAATAGATAACCTGGAATTTTATCTACCACCTTGGGAGTGCAATTAACAGATGAGACAGAGACTGACATGAAGATCTAATCAATTAAAATTAAAGGACTCGTGCTGCTTCGCAGCATTAGCGTAAGTAGAATGTCCATATCTAGATTAGCACCTGCAATAAACCATACCAGTAGCCGGGGAACCAGGTGTACCCTAGAAAGGAAATATCTAGTACCCCGACGTACCTCGGGCCATCCACGGCGTGTAGATGACCGCCTTCTGTGACGGCTACAATCGGAGTATATTTGATTATTAAATATACATAATAAGGTTTTAAATCTTAAGTACGTAAAAGTAACAGTAGCAACAGTAGGTATAAACAAAAGGTAATCTTGAATTCTATGTAGTGATAGGTTTAGGATATAAATAATAACACAAATATAATGTAAGTCATTTAAAACAGGCAGTGTAGAAGAAAACTTTTTCGATTTCACTTTACGCGTAAATTTTACAGGCGCTGTAAATGAAGTTAAATTAAACGGGACTTATGACATTTATAGCAAATATGATTTCTCTTCTTTACGGCTCACTTATTATATTTTGTTTATCATAAATATAAATTGCTAAGTAATCTTATATAATGTGTATAATATCAAAAGAAATATACTGTAACTGTATATTACGAGTATATTGTACTATATATAACGACTGGATGGCGTAGTGGTTTGTGTAACAGACATGAATACATTCACAGATGATCCAAAAGTCGAGGGTTCGATTCCCGCTCAAGTCTAACATTTGTGTGCATGAACATTTAATGTTTGATTATGTCTGGGTGTTTCTATGAATATATTTCAAAAAAAAAGTTATATATGTATTTATATCAGTTGTCTAGTAACCCATAGTACAAGTTCTGCTTAGTTGGGGACTAGATGGCGTTGTGTGAATGTGGTAGAATATTATTATTATTATTATATATACTACTCCCACATGTCACTTTGAGGAAAAATCTATATTTAATCAGACGAATGACAGTCAACGGATGTGTATAATTTGCATTGTACGGACTATCTTTTCCAGAGTTAGTGTGTAAATTTAAACTAGTAAAACAAGGTTTCCAGGTCCAGGTGTTAGGTCAGATGTGGTCTTTTTTACTTTAGAATTTATTTAGGCAAAGTGGTGAAAAAGTTAGCTATAAAACACGTTTTAGGTTACCTTAATCTACCTCTTCTCTTAGCTTTAGTTTTAACTGCATGCTAGATTATGCTTTATGTCCTGTACATTAGAATCGTTATTTATTTAAATTAACGAAGTGCGATTTCTGTACTTGGACTCCATAAAAATAATTCTTGACTATAGAAAATTATCTATTCATAACGTGTTCAACTTGTAGAGTAAAATTAACATTGCTATCCCAGCTTTTTTGAATTACTGAAGATTTTTTATACAAATTAAGCAACTTACCGTGGTCTAGCAGCTTGAGTGTAGATGCGATCAAGTTCTTGCAGCATGCGAAGAGCTTCGGCCATGTTCTGAGGGCCCTCCTCAGTAGCCTCGGCCATGCAGACGACAGCCAACACCACGGCAAAAGCAATAGCAATGTTCTTGTTCAACATTTTCAGTTCTGTGTACAAAAGAAATATAATTTTAAGTACTGTTTATTATAACTTATTCTTTGTAAGATACAAAAAAGAGATTAAAGGATTTTACAGGTTACTGAGCCATATAATCTAATCTGCACAATATAAAGGTCTATTTTTGTAATTACTAGAATTTATGATCCACTTCTAATATGACTTTAAGAATTATTATACTCTGATGCGGCGAAGTTCAAAAGGAGGGAGGGTTATATATTGACCTTGTACCTATGTATGTGTATCTTTCTCTATGTGTCGTAAGTATAAACAACTGAATCGACGAAGGGCCTAGTGTTAATGTATTTCACATCAACTCGCTATCGACAGTGAGCGCATTTAGCGTTGTGATTGGTGGAGATTTCGATGCGAGCCAATCGCAACGACAAACGCTGTCATCGTGACGAGTAAATCGATGTGAAATAAACTCACACTAAGCTCTCTGATTAAGTTTGTAATATCTGAGTACAATAACTTTCTTTTTCTTTACAGTTTCAGCTTAATTCTAACAGATATGTTTATTTATTTGTATATAAATGACATAAACATTATCCAATAAAGACAAATAAGACTATAAGATAATACATAAGACTCTTAGTCCATCTTTGTACAAATTATGTGCACTTTAAATAAAATTAACTCTCCAACAAATAAATACGGTCCAGACGAAGGTGCGTGCAAAATATGTATAATATTATTCAAAGGATCCAAGACATATATAATCAGCTATCTCATCATGTCTGTTTTCCATTGGAATAAGCAAGGGACGCTGAGTTATTCTGTCACATCTTATTGAGGTCGCAATCATATACGAAACTTTTGACTATAAATTTATTATTGTCCCTTCTACTATTCAAATACGTAATGCTAACATATTTCACATTACACTTCACTGTTCTCCCTCGAGAGAGTGTCAGACTAAATCAGAATAGATGGCCAAATTGGCTATCTATTCTGATTTAGTTTCATAAGTTTTTGAATCTGAAATCACCAAAATACTCGGATTTTGTGACGTCACGGATGTGCTCAATGCTTACAATAAACGTAACTTGCCGAAAGTTAAGTTACTTTTTATATATAGAAGCACAAGTAGGCATTTTGATACACAAAAATTTTATATTTTCAGGAATGCTGGAATCGAACACGCGTCCTCTGAAGTGGCAATCGAATAAACTAACACCGCTGGACATAGGTTTTTGACATTTAATATCATTATTTTTGTACATTCAATACCTAGATCTTAAATTAAATCCACACCTTTGCTTGTCACTCAAATGGAAGCGATTGTTTTCGTTGATAACAATATAACAAAATCTGGGTGTTTCCGTTTCCGTGTTACCCGTATGGTGACGGATTAAGAATCATCATCCTTATTCATCCCGTGGGTGTTGTAAGAGCCGACCAAGGAAGTAAACTACGTACGACAACAGCGCTTCAAAAAGAAGGAAAACTTGAGACAAACCCTATACTAACCCGTCTGGCCACCGTGGTATAGTAAGGCCTTCTTTCTAAGGAGAGGGTTATGTCCAGCAGTGAACTAATAAAGACTATTGATGATGATGATGATAGGTGCGTCCATTCAGAACCTAACATGTATGCAACTAAATGGATACATTTTAAGGTACTTATTAGATCAAACGAGCCTTTGAATGCCAAAGTGTTCTGTTCTCTATTTTGCCACTATACTTTAAAGGAAACCTGGCAGTTAATGCGTTCAGTAAACATATGATACTTTGAGAGTCTCTTTATAACGAGATTATATTGTTTGGTATGCAATGAACTTTTAATTCAAAACTAACTTATATATTCCATTAACCCGTCTGAAAGGAACAAACAATATTTATTTCAATAACAAACATCAGTATCAAACGTACAGGAGGTTTTATATTTATCTTTATTTATCTGAATACATATATAAATATGATTGATGAGAATGATTTGGTTATGATTTGCATTTAAGAAATGGGTTCATATTGAATGATTACGCTTCCCTATATTGTTTAAATATGGCGTACAAATTTATGACTGATTGTCTCTTTTCAAGAGGAAGCTATTATGTTAAGCGTCTTTTGTTTAATGATCCTTCAACACACAAAAACGCAATTAAGGTATTAGTTTCAATTTCGTCACAAACCAAGTTTGATGGGTACAAACTTTAACTTTAAAATACCTATTAAATAAAAGGATACATCTGAAGACATTATTAGACCTATTGGTCTAGTGATCCTGACTTCTAAACCAGAGCTCATGGGTTCGATTCCTACCGGGTCAAATAGTATTCCTTCGGGTCAAATAGTATTGTGTGATGAGCACAATTGTTAGTTCTGTGCCTGGGTGTTGTTTATCTACAATATGTATTTAGAAAGACATAAGTATCTTTATCTGCAGACTGTGCGATGTGTGAGGTTATTCTGTTATCCATACTTATATTATTAATGTAAAAGTGAGTTTGTTTGTTTGTCTATTTGTTTGTTACGCTTTCACGACGAAACAACTAAACCGATTTTAAAGATTCTTTCAACAATGGAAAGCTACATTATCAGCGAGTAACAGGCAAACTTGACATAAACCCTATACCAACCCGTCTGGCCAGCGTGGCATAGTAGGCCAAAACCGCCTTTCTAAGGAGAGGCCTATGTCCAGCAGTGGACTATTAAAGGCTGTTGATGATGAACAGGCTAACTTTTACCGCGATAACCGACATATAAGCGGGCGAAGCCGCGACCAAAAGCAAGTATTTTATATTTTAATACCACGGAAATACTGATTTGCATTTTTTTTTTGAAACGATAACGATTATTGAAACGAACATAAATTACAGCATAACATATTGACGATCCGGATGTATGTGATACAAGGTTACTTTAATTTTTATTTGTTTTCACATTTAGTTTCTATTTGCCTATACTCAGATGAGTGGAGCTTTAATGTCGGATCGTTTCTTTCAGATGTAGAAACATTTATCTGACAATTTTTTATAGATATTAAAACACTGAGACACCATTAAATACTGCCTACATCGTGTAAAAATTAATTGAAAATGTGTTTTTAATTAGATTAATTTGAAACTTCTAAACTCTCTCGTGAAACTTACACTTTTAACAAATCACTTTGTATATGGAGGTTTCTAACTTTAACCAAAAATCGCACAAAACTATGTCTTAGCCAAAATAGCCATAAAATAGTCGTACTAACTAAACAGAATAGGTGCTATTTCCAAATTAACCTATTTATTTAATAACTAACCATAATATGAGAAATATTAAAACTCTTGTTGAAAATAAGCTCTCAAAAAACATAGTAGGAAATTCAGCCGACAAACGTTCAGTTTGCCTTTCACATTTGATAATAGAATATTATAATTCTAAAAACAACAGTTACCATGTTTCCCAAGAGTATAGGGATATATACTAAGATGTAAATGCTAATTAGTAATGTTGCTTTAACAATTATATGGAATTCAAGATTTCAAATATTTACATTAAAACGGCATTCGCCATGAATTGAACATCTAATTATCTTAAAGGGTGCATACATTAATAAAGCCTTTTTGAGCTCAATTTAATGTCAAAATTCAACAAATAATACCATCGTTTCATTTCTACCTCTTTGTAAAAAGGATTATTTTGTATGAGTGCGCTAAGCCGAGTACGTCCGTGAATTGTTTAAGTTACAGCTCTAGTCAGTTTGACTTTAGCTTAAATACGTCCGCCATCGACCGCCATGGAGTTGAGTTTTTAACTTTTTTTACTTTCGTAATGACAAAATGCTGGAAGTTTCAAATTGATAAATTTTGCTTGAGTTGATACGTAAAAGCCTGGTACACGGCTCGCCTAATCGTAAACAAGGACGGATTGTCTATACATGGGTATTCGCTACGAAAACAAAAAAAATGATAGCAACTTTGATCGCGGTTTAAAGTCTAATCTACCTACTTTTTCGATAAATAGGGGGAAGTCCCGTAGCGCCGGACGGCACCTAGCGCCGGACACTCATACTATTTTGACAAACGTCAAAGCGATCTATTTATAAATCGGTGAAAGGGGTGCGGGGCAACGTAGCGAGACAGGATCACGCAACGCGATTTGCCAGTGAGGCGCACAGTCGTGGTGGAAGCCGTGAATTGCTGTTTTTGGTGGGAAAGCGTTGCGTCACGTAAATTTCAAGTAAGTATTACTGCTATGGTTTTATCCTTAATTGTTTTTGTTATTTGTTAATAAAGACAGTGTTTCACTATAATTATTATATTGTGAAAGTTTTTATTAAATACCTAAACAGTTTTAGTATGAAATACGTAATATTGGACGTTTCCTGTCCCCTACTTTCGGACACAAAGGTGTCCCTTACCACCGGACAGGTTATAGGTTAGCTTTTTTATGAAGCATTTGTACTTATTGTAATGATGATTGTTTGTTGTTTTACAGGATAGAAGGAGAGAGATATTTGAAAATGCAAGAGAGAAAAAAAAAGGAAAATGGGATCAGCAAAGTTTAAAAACGGCGATGAACAAGATTTTGTCCAAAAAAATGAGTTTGAGGGCAGCTTCGTCACGTTACAATGTGCCAAAAAGTACTCTACATGATAAAATAACGACATTGAGCAGTGGAAAAGAAGTCACGTTGCAACCAAAAGTTGGTAGATTCACAAAAACCTTCTCACCCGAGTATGAGCAAGTTTTAGTGGACCACATAAGAGATTTGTCTAATAGATGTCTGCCCCTGATGAAAAACGAGTTTTTGAAGTTAGCTTACGACTTGGCTGAAGCTATGAAGATTCCCAATGAGTAAACAAACCAAACGTGGCAATAACGACAACAAAAAGGAGCCGTTAACTGAAGTATCAAATATAGAAAAAACGACTTGTGTAGTGTGTTTAGAAGATCACGACGAGGACTGGATACAATGCTCCAGATGCCAATAATGGGCTCATGAAGCATGTGCAGACGTTCCAGAATGTGGAGATGCCTACATATGTGATAGATG